ACTTCTCTGAACACATTCTAATTATTAGCTTGGTTTTAGACATTTATATATCAAATAAAAATGTCTGTCCACATGGAGGTATTCAACAGATGAATAAGCAAAATGTGATGGAACTCAAGAGAGAGGGTCAGAGTTGGAGATGGATTTAAGGGTTATCTACTTAGAGGTGAGAATTAAAACCAGGAGACAAGATAATGTCCCTGAGAAGGAAAGGAAAAAGAAAATTGCTGAGAAATAATTAAACTATAAAAAGCAAAATGATAGTACAAACCCACCATAGGAACTTGCCTAGAAGTTACTTGTGTTTTCCCCAGTAGTCGTGGCAACTGTGTGTACAGGGATAAAATTGGGAAATTTTTTTTTCAGTTACACACTGAGCTTTTGACTTGTTACTGTAGCATAGCCTATTCTATCCTAATGAATGCACAGTCTTTGGTAACAATTTTGGATAGGAACCTAACATCCCATGTGTCCTAAAAGAAGTTAATTAACTTTTCTGGTCTGGGTTTGCTTATTAGTAATAATTGAGGGCTATATTAAACAATCTCCAAGGTTGCATCTATTCAAATATAATACAACATTGTGATATCTTTGAGCCAGGGAAATTTTCTGTGTAAACCATGGTGTTATCACAAATGTGTTGGTGCAGCTGGTAGAGTCAAAAACCTACACCCATTACAGAGAGGGAATTGATCTCTTAGAAGTTGTCTTTGGAGATTTTAGAGATAAAGTCATGCCACACGATTTGTTTTTGTTTTTGTTTTTGTTTTTTAGAGATCCAATGCCCAGAACTATCTTGGGATGTTACCAAAATCTTACTTTTGTTTTACTCAGGATAATTAACATGGGGATTATCCTTCATCAGTGATGGGAGAATGATGACTACCGATCATTGCATATTTCTTTATTCCAGGTATTCCATATGCATCATCTCACCCAGTACGCACTTATCTATTTATCTGCCCATCATCTATCTAATCACTAGCAACCTCTATTATTTTCCCATTTTTGCTAATGAAGAAACTGAGACTTCCAGAAAATAAAATATCTTACCAACCAAATACAGTGCTAAAATCTATTCCCACGTTTGTCTGGGTCCAAAGGTCAGGTTCTTAGTCTCTAAAATGTCTCAAGGGTAGATTGTAAAGTTTAGTATGGAGAAAGTTTTCTAAGGTTGCTACCTTCAGATTTTGTTCCATCCCCTTTTACATGTGGTTAAATTGACCTCATCTGTCAAATTCACTATGTCTCTCAATTTTGGTCACATATTAGCTTTTCCAATTACTTCTATTCTTTTTTTTTTTTTTTTAAGGTTCCTCTTCTGTTTCACGAAGTTTCTCAGCAATTTTTCTCTTTATTGCCTTTTTTTTTTTAAACTTTTGTCCTCTCACACTACTTTATATATAATATGTTATGGTCTATTATTCTGTCTATAATTTTAAGTTCCTGGTTCAAAATAACAAGCAAAACAGTACTAAATTATAAGCTGTGCGGGTTTTCTATTATTGCATGAAAGGCATGTCATTTTGTATTTTTACCTTTTACTATAGCAAATTAAGTAACACAGATTGAACCATTCCTAATCAAAAACCTTCCTGTTCTTTCATTTCTATTTTTGCTGACACAGTCTCGACATATCTTTTTCTAATGTCATTAACCTTGACTCTATTCTATACCTGTTGTATAACATTTTAGAGTAGTAATTCTTGGTCACCTAGAATAGTCTCTGAATAAAATATCAGAAAGAAAATTTTTTTTTAAAAATTACAAAGGTAATTCTTTCCATAATATAATGCCAAAAATACAAATAACTATCTCATTTACCCAACAAATTTGGAATTACCATGGTAACAATGCCAAGGAAACATAAAGAAAACAGTGAAATAAAATGGCAGACAAAAAAAAAATTATTTAATTTAAATTTAAAGATTAAACTCCCTAGAGACTCAATACTTCATCTACTTTTCCTCAGGAAACAATGACTATATAACATTTTGTTTGTAGTGTACACTGTGGTAATCTCCCTACAGTCCTTGTACTCCTTCCCTTTATGTTGTGACCAGCAATCACAAATCCACAGAGGTGGCCTACTAGTGTTTAATTCAATCAAAGTAATCTCATTTTTCTTGTCATTGTGGATTCTATAGCAAAGGGATTGGATCAGCAATGAACATATAACACAATTAAGGCCAATGAAACCTGAGAACAAGTTGAAACTTTCTTATCCTTCTCAGAAAAACAGAGAGCTTTTGTTTGACTTCCTATTTTTCTAATATGCACAAATATATCCATGTACTGTTATGATCATGTCTCAATTTCAGATAACTTAGATCATATCTCAATATCAAACACATTAGAAGAAAGTAACACAGGGCTGTTTTATGAAGCAACACCTTGAATTTGGGAACTCAAAGAAACCTTGAGAGATTATGTGAAAGATCTTTGAAATATATAAAGCATAACAATAATAAAAGATAACAACTTCTCCTCAATTCAACACACTGGGAAATTAAACTGTCTTTGGTTCACTTGTATTATTTTTATGTACCGTTAATCCAAGCTTACATAGGCTACTGGTGACATACATGACATATAAGACTCTCCAATAACATTATCTGCCTAATTCATTGAGTCAAACAATGCTGTGTGACTCTCAATGCCTTTCATAATCTGTGTCCTCTATGCTCTCCCTCCTCTACTCACATGTTGTTGGTACTCCCTCATGTGTATCTGCTTTTCCAGACTCTTCACAGCTCTACTGTGTCTCTCCTCACCCTCTCCATATGTACCATCTTAATTTTTGCATCTTTACCTTTTGGTCAAGTCCTCCCCCACCCCTGCAACAATGAAACTCTTCTCTACAGCAGTATTTGGCTCTTTGGCTCTAATTACACATTATCATGCTTCTGCCTCTAATGCTTTTAGTTTTCTCTGTGATTAGGTGGTTAGATCCTTGAGAATAAGGATTGAGGCTGATTTCTCTTTAACCTGCCTAAACCCTCAAACACTGTGTAGTAATATAGATATTAAATAAATACTTGATTGACAAACCATTTTTTACTATTTGTCTTACAGAATTTGTTGCATAGCTCTAGAAAAAGACGTTAAATAACTAGATTGGTTTAGGGCTTCCAAGATTCAGCAGATAAAAATATAGCATGCCAAGTTAAATAACTATTTTTTTTAATATATCAAATGCAATATTTGGGGCAAAATTATGCCAAAAATTCTGGGTTTTAGTTTAAAATTTAAATTTCAGTGGATGTCCTTTATTTATCTGGCAACATTAGATGAGGCTGCTCTAAAAATATATTTATTTTTCTAAATTAGAGCTAAATGTCACATTTATGAGTCACTTAAACTTTACACCATTTTGCTAATCAGTCCTACAGTATATGAAGTTCTCTTCATTGTTCTACCTGGCAGGACAAGAAAGAGATTGAATATCCATTATGTGAAAGTTGTAACGTGTACAAGGAGGCAAAGATGAGTAAGATGACATCTCTGCCCTCAAGAAGTTCATAGTCTTTGGGAGAAACAGCCCATTTCATGCCAGCCTCTTCTTGATATGCATCTACATGGCAATCAATACAGTTAAAATTTTTTAGGCCTGACCCAGATCTCCTGACCCCAAATCTAAGACAACATTATATAGTTGGGTTGTCAAAAATGAAGTATATTTGTTTTGGAGTACAAATTAAGTAGTTCCTGCCTCTGAAGTATTATATTAATAATAATTAATATAATTATATATTATATATAATTATATATGATATAATTATAATTATAATTCATAATTTATAATTTATAATCCTAAGTGAAAATAATTATTCATAATTTGGTTTGATCAGTATATTATTCTCAGAATTTGATAATGAAGTGAGTTTTTATTATGGAAGTTTCTTTTCCTGGTTTCTGGGTATTTAAATATGCATTCTTTAGCATATTCAATGGAAATGTATAGTAAGACATTTTTTCCCTCTGAGCCTCTGTGTAAATCCTTCACAAGTAAATGCTATGCCTACTATTTAATGTGAGTCATTTATTTCGATGGTCATTAATATATAGTGATTTAGATTTTGAACCTCTCTGCTGTGTGGCCTTGGTCTGTGTTAGCTAATCTTTTATCATCCAGTCTTTTCTGCAGTGGAGAACAGGAGACAGGAGAGATTTTCTTTGCCTAGCACGATGTCATAATGGCAGTATGTGTACAAAATTTGATATTAGTTAAATTTTTAGCTCTACTCTGTTTATACTTACATGCCATATATTCAGTAATGACTGTAATAATAAAAAATTCCAAATTCCAGAAATAACAGCATGTTTTTCATAATAGTATTAAACATGTAACAGTGCATGTGTGTATGTATTTCTCAGACTTAGAACATAACAATTCAAGGTTTTAAAACAATTTCTCCTTAATGATAAAAATTTCACTTCTGGAATACAGTGTCATATCTTTCCGTCATTTTCCAAATATAAGCTATTGAACTCAACCCACTGATATTGATCTCAATCTATATTTTCATGGAAGCCATTTTCAATTAAAAAAAGGTGTAATTCAGGGGCACCTGGGTGGCCCAGTCAATTAAGCCTCTGCCTTAGGCTCAGGTCATGATCCCAGTGTCCTTAGATAGATCCCTGTACTGGGCTCTGCACTCAGCAGGGAGTCTGCTTCTCCCTCTCCTTCTGCTTTACCCCCCATTTCTCTCTCTCTCATATAAGTGAAAAATAAAATCTTTTAAAAATAAATAAAAAAAGATATAATTCATAAAATGATGATTTTCATGGAGTTCAACTGGTCATTAACACATCACATGAAGTTACAAATGAAGTGGTATTAAAAGGGACCAACAAGAATACTGGGGAAAGTTATATCAGTTTGAACAACCTGCCAATTACTAAGATAGAAAGTTGTAATTAACATTATCATTATGCCAAGTCTTTGGATATCATAAAATACTCATTTATGGTGTATATTTTTGATTGTCAAAGGTTACCTTGGGTAGCTCTTCAATTTGATTGGCATCTAGATAAAGCTCCTCTAATGTCCGCTCAAAGTTAAAGACCTCCTTTGGCACCTGCTGAAGACTGCAGTGGGAGTAGTCTAAAACTGAGATGATTTCTTCTTCACCTCGGAAACATCGGCACGGCACCAGTCGGCCGATGATTTTCCGTTTGGTGGTCATCTCCAGGCACTGCACTAGAGAAAAAAACAGAAAAAAAAAAGCAACAAACCGTGCTTAATTGACTGAATTTGGAGGGCATTCCTGTAATATTAAAACCTTAGAAATTTAATTTTAGTATATGTTTTATAATTATATAATGTTTTCAAGTTTATATAGAACATGTACATGCATTACATCATTTAATACTTGAACAGCCCTGCAAGGTATGTGAGATAGGTTTTATTCCCATTTAACAAATAAAGAAATGGAATTCAGAGAGGTTAAGATATTTCCCATCATCACACAGTTTTGGAACGGCAGAATCTCCCCAGAATACAATCCTGACTCAGGATTATCATGCAATTACCATGCTTACTTGATACACAGAACTATAATGTTTTTTTTTAATTTTATACAAATTACATGGCAGAACAGAAATATCTAGAATTTGTTGGAAAAATTGTATTTTTTCCATTTCTGTAAAAATATTCAAGTTTCACTTCTAAGGTTTATGATGACCTCTTTTTGGCCTACAAATTCAATCCACTAATGAACATATATTTATTAAATAACCCCTATGTTCCAGGCACTGATCTAGTTACTGGGATAGAGTGATGAATTAAACAAAGTCCCTGTTTTCATGAAGCTTCTATTCTATTGGAGATACAGATTAGAGATGGATTGGTTTTTTGCTTCAGAATGAGAACCTATCTTTATGAATTGTTTGATTTTAATGGTAGAAAGCAACTTATGATCATGGTAGAAATTCCAATAATATCTTTCTCTAGGTTAAACTGACCAAATGCCATGAAATCTTGCACAGGCTTGTACCATGTCACTTACAACACTTCATTAAATCTATTGATTTTCATGTTATTCTTCTAGATGCTAAGTCTTTTGAGAGTAGGAACTATGTTTTATTTATTTTGCATTTGTCTTAAAGCTTGACATACAGTAAATATTTAATAACAAATGTAGAGTGAAATAAACAGATTTTTATGGAAGCATAAAAGACCCCCAAAATTCAAAGCAATCTTGAAGAAGAAAAGGAGAGCTGGAGGCATCACAATTCCAGACTTTAAGTTATATTACAGAGCTGTAAGGATCAAGACAATATGGTACTGACACAAAAACAGACCTATAGATCAATGGAACAGAATGGAAAACCCAGAAATAGACTCACACGATATGGTCAATTAATCTTCAACAAAGCAGGAAGAAAAATAGTCCCTTCAACAAATGGTATTGGGAAATTGTATGTCTTAATGCAAAAGAATGAAACTGGACCACTTTGTGAAATCATACATAAAAATATATTCAAAGTGGATGAAAGGCCTACGCCAGAGATAGGAAACCATTAAAATTCTAGAGGCGATTGGGTAGGGTATGTGCTATGGTGAGTGCTGTGAAGTTTGTAAACGTGGAGATTCACAGACCTATACCCCTGGGGGAAAAAAAAATATATATATATATATATATATATATGTTTATAAAAAATAAAATTATAAAAAAAAATTCTAGAGGCGAACACAAAGAGGAGGTAACCTCTTTGATGTTGGCAGTAGAAACTTCTTACTAGACACATCTCCAGAGGCAAGGGAAACAAAAGCAAAAATAAACTATTGGGTCTTCATCAAAATAAAAAGCTTCTGCAAAAGAAACAATCAACAAAACTAAAAGGCAGCCTACAGAATGGGAGAAGATATTTGTAAATGACATATATGAAAAAGGGCTAGTATCCAAAATCTATAAAGAATTTATAAAACTCAACACTCAAAAAACAAATATTACAGTTAAAAAATGGGCAGAAGACATAAATAGATATTTTTCCAAAGATATCCAGATATCTAATGGAAACATGAAAAGATGATAAACATTACTCATCATCAGGGAAATAAAAATCAAAACTACAATGAGATATCACCTCATACCAGCAAAATGCCTAAAATTAACAACACAGAAAACAACAGGTGTTGGAGAGGATGAGGAGAAAAGGGAACCCTCTTACACTATTGCTGGGAATGCAAACTGGTGGAGCCACTCCAGAAAACAGTATGGAGGTTCCTCAAAAAAGTTAGAAATAGAACTACCCTACAACCCACCAATTATACTATTATATATTTACCCAAAGGGTACAAAATATTAATTTGAAGGGATAAGTACACACCAATATTTATAGCAGCAGCATCAACAATAGCCAAATTATGGAATAAGCTCAAATGACTGATTAATCAATAAAGAAAATGTGGTGTGTATCTACAAAGTGGAATATTACTCAGCCATCAAAATGAATGAAACTTTGCCATTTGCAATGACATGGATGGAGCTACAGACTATTGTGTTAAGTGAAATAAGTCAGTCAGAGAAAGACAAATACCATATGACTTCACTCATATGTGGAAATTAAGAAATAAAACAAATGAGCATGGCAGAGCGGGGCGGGGAGGAGAGAGCTAACCAAGAAATAAACTCTTAACTATAGAGAACAAACCAAGGGTTGTTAGAAGAGAGGTGGGTGGGAAGATGAGTTAAATGGGTGATAGGTGTTAAGGAGGGCACCAGCTGTGATGAGCACTGGGTATAATATATAAGTATTGAATCACTAAATTCTATACCTGAAACTAATATTACACTGTATGTTATCTAACTGTAATTTAAATAAAAACTTGAAACTAAAAAGGAACAAACATACAAACAAAAAATGAATTCATGAATGAATAAATGAATATATTTAGGGCTCTCCTCCCTCCCTCCCAACCACCATCAGCTATTGACAATTTATTTGAAAAACTTGTCATTCTAAAAAAAGGTCACTACTTCTGTGAATGTCTTTCCAAGAAGAATGATTGGAGTCTTCCTCTGAGTTCCCAGAACACTAATCACATTGCTTCCCAATTACATGTCCTATTTTCCTCCGAGGTAAGTTCTTTGAAGAAAATATCTTGTCTTATTCATTTTTGAATTCGTAGACACGGTATAGTTTGCTGGCTACAGAGTAGTACTAAATGAGCATTAATTTGAAACGAGCTTTTTTGGTTAATTTATTTGACTTACCAACATAAGTTTATTACTAGAAAGTAGTGTTAGTTTATAAAAACAACATAGCATTTTTTTTTTTATATTGCTTAGGTTAAGTCAAATTTGGAAGGAAGGGAGTAGAAAATGTTTAAGAATTGTTGGAAATTCAGCCCAAACCTCCTTATCCTTTCTTTAACTTCCAAAATTAATAAAATGATATTTTGAGGACAGGTTCATGAGTCAGCACTTTCAGATGGTTATTTGCACTTGGCATTCTGTAGAAAGCCAACCAAAATCATTAAAAGAATAACCTTTCTTCTTCATTACTTTCTGTCTCTTGAACTCCTACACTTCACATTTCTAGGAGCCTGAATCCCAAGGCTTTTTAATGCTTATTTTAGTTGATCTTACTTGAAATCCCTGATTATGGGTTGGTGGTTTCTCAGTCTCTACCTGGGACCTGACATATATTAGGTAGCAAGTAAATGCATCTAGTAAATATCTGACATACTTAGGCACCTAGTAAATGTCTGTGGTAGTTATTACAGTTGTAAAGCTAAGTGATGATGGCTTAGCCATCATCATAGTGAGGATGAGCCACCCTATCCCTCCCCCTACCACCCAGCAACCCTCAGTTTGTTTCCTGAGATTAGAATCTCTTATGATTTGTCTTCCTTCCCAGGTCCCATCTTGTTTTATTTTTTCCCTCCCTAACCCCCATGACCCCCCACCCTGCCTTTCAAATTCCTCACATCAGGGAGAGCATATGATAATTGTCTTTCTCTGATTGACTTATTTCACTTATCACAATACCCTTTAGTTCCCAGGTTTTTAATTTGAGTCACTGGTAGTCACATCAACCACACAGCTATAATGTCATGTCCTGTCTGCCTCTCTGACCTACAGATGAATACACAATCGACTTCTGATGCCTGTGTTGCCCAGTGCCTATCACTCACCCTATTGTGTCAAACCATTTAACTATTTCTTTATACCTGTCTGTTGCCGCCACTGTAAATTTTTAAATATAAATTAAGAGGAAAAAGACTATCCAGGCTTGTACCTAAACCATTTGGTCAGAGGGTCCACTGTCCACTGAGACTTTTGGAGCTCCGTTTACTTAAGACTGTTTTCCATTTCATTGTCCCAAAACTTAGGCTCTTCTGGTCATCTTTTCTGTCCATTCTCTCATCCCCACAATGTACTGAAGTTTTCCCCTGGCCCAATTTCTCTCTTCTCTACTCCGTCTGAACTCAGAATATGTCTTATATCATGATCGACAATTCCACTGAGTTTGTCGTCTTCACCAAATGCTCCCTCATAGTCTCAACTGAAACTCGATTCACTTGTAGCCTTTAAAAGTGGAGCATGCTGACATTCTCATCCCATAAATACTTCAGGACTGAAAAGTGGAATCGTTATCCCCTTTGATCTTTAAAAACTATTATTTTTCTCTCCTGTAAAAGCTCTCTTCCTTTGATGGTCTCCTTATATAGTAACATCTTCCTCTCTCAGGCCATTCATTTACCATCTCTTTAACACTCTTCTGCACCCATTGATAAATTTTGTATCTCATTTCTGAACTATCTCAATCATAACTCCTTCTAATCTTGATTTATTCTCCCTACATTAATAACTTCCAATTTTAAAGCTTTTCTTTAATCTAAATTTCTAAATAAATTGATTATAATGCTACTCCTTAATTTTTCAATTACAGGTTTGTAGCATGTAATGTGGTGGTTTAACTTCCTGCTAACAAATTTCAACACACTTCTAATCAAGCAAAATATATAGAAAGCAATATTGCTTTAAGTTAGTAGTATTTATTTTATAAATAAGGAAATTCTTATTTCCTTATTTATAAAAATAAGAAAAAATAAGAAAAAATAAGGAAATTCTTAAAGAAACAAAAAAATGCACAAGAAATAAAATGTGATCAAATTATAGTACTACTATAGTCATATATATATATGACTACTACTACTACATATATACTACTATAGTCATATATATAGTC